CCTTCGAAACCGTCTCCCAGGGCCCTGATTCTTATCAGAGTTAAGAATGTGTTTTCTGACCAATAGAGGGGTCAGGAAATTTGTACAACGATTTTGGAGGGAAAAGTCACGATCCATCGGAGCCTCCCAAAACTCCATAAATTTGGAGAATCTTGCCTATTTCGACAGTGAGATTTCTGCCCACCGTCTGTGAGGTCGACATTAGGAAGCTCCAGCACCTCTTTCACCAAAGAAGAACTACTAAAAAGGGCTGTCAAAAACGAACGTCGGTCCACTATTCAAGACCAATCCAAAAAGCTGCATCCCTTCACCACTCCTTCTGACGAGCCCACTGGACTTCTGTCGTCGACCAAAAAAAAACTCACTCAGCTGCAGGATTCCTTCATCTGCGAACAAATTTCCAACTCTACAAGAACCGTGAGTGTATCTATCAGAACCTTAACAATAACATCTCTAATCGCTTAAAGAACTATTTAGGCGCCCAGAGAAATATTTTGAGCAAGCCTTTTTTAAGTTGAGAAAATTTTCTCTTTTCCCTTTTTTTCTCTCCTAATTGTCCTTTCATCCCTTGACCTTTTTTTTTTCTGTATATGTTTTAAATAAACACTTGCTTCTTTTGTTGTTACTCACCGAGCAGGAGTTTTTTCTTTATTCGTACGCGCTTAAAAGAGAGAGTTTGTCCGCTCTAATCTTGATGTTTTACTTGCGTTTTTTCGCAAATTTTTAAAGACAACCTTTTGATGCGGGATAGCCGGGACAAATTTCCTAGCACCTGCCTTGTTCCTTTGCTGTCTGAAAGTCTTCGGTATTTACCAAAGACTCACCACTGAGTCAGTTATTCACAATGAGGGAACCAGAGTGCGTACACTCGGGCCACTGGTCAAAATTTACCCAGCCCTTCTTTCGCGGGATCTGACACAAAGCTTATCTTATCTGGTCATGGCTGCTGAACAGAAAGTACAATTTGATCGTAGTCTCTGGACCGAGTCATGGCTGTCCAAAAGTTTTCTTCCGTATCTACTGACTTGATCTGTATTTATTTTAAAAACTTGGATCGCCTTAGCCACACAATCTGTGATGTTATGAGAGCTTGAGACAACGTCCCTCATTGGTCAATACATACAAAAAATCATTTACCATAAACTGAAAAAGATTCTTCATAAATTTTGGCGGGTTTTAACCGCTGAGCCGAAAAAATACAGAATTGTAACAGTTTTTACACAATCCGTCTGGCCTACATAAAAATACACTTCTCTCAAAAGAACGTGTATTAAAAAAACAACCTAGACGAATATACAATTAGATGATTGTAACATTTTTAAAATAATAAAAATTAAATCTTTATAAGGCAGCAATCATCAACAAACAAAATCTTCTAGCCTGCCTAGAAAGTCAGTCACACATAAAACAGACCACGTTGTTTTGACAGCGGTCTTAACAACGCTCCTAATAGTAGTTTCAGACCAGCCAATCAGAAGTCATACATACAAAGAATCTAACACATGCTGCTCAATGAACGAATTTTCAATCTACGCAGTAAGTTACTTACAAACTCTACATGAAATAAATACAAACTTTCTAAATTTCACATGTTGAGCGAAAACGGAAATAAACACAAAGACAGTCAAACACCAAATGATAAAAAATTGTTTCTAAATTGGTGGATTGCGCATCCTTCTGGTTAATAAATTAATGCTTTGAAAATAAATATCGAATATTTTTCAACCAATAGGACATGTTCCCGCCAACAATAAAAAAAATGCTTCGTGGTCCCTTTGAAGGGTATTTAAGCAAAGTTTCTACACGGACGAACGAGAGAATAAGGAGATACAGACGGTAACAGACTGCAACAGTTCATGACACCAGGCTTAAAAGAAAATTCCCTTACCCATTCACTCGTCTTCCTAACCAAGCTACGTGACACTTACACTTTCCTCCTCGCTTTCCTCCTCTTCTTTCTCACATATAGACGCGAAGAAATCACATTTCTTTTCATTTTAACAAACAAATACTGTAAGAACTTTAACAGTCATACACGCTAAGAAAAATTTAATTGTTAAAAACATGAAAATAAGAATATCATATTTTTATATTTAAACACCTTTTTCATTGTTGTGGGTTGATTCAAATCCGCAACACACAAAAAAGACTTTTTTTTTCCCTTTCCTTGTAATCTCTCTTAAATTGTTAGATAAAATGTTATGTTTATTATAAAATTTATATTGTTCATAATTATTTATCTCTTGATAGAGTTTGACACTCAAATTATTTATCAAAGTTTGGTTTGGCGAATCATTTTTACAGAATCCAGAGACCAACTCTCTAATCATTTTTATATATCGTCCGAGGCGAATGCTTAAATCAAGATGGCTGACTCGAACAAGGCCTTTTCAAACTCATCGGTGCTATAACTGTCGCAACAAGCATGGATTCTTGGCCAAAAAACGTGAAAATAATTAAAATAAATAATTAAAAATAAATAATTCATTTTAAAAAGTGTATATAGATAAATATTATAATAGTCTAAGTTTGTCTCTTACGCTTACAGTTAATAAAAAAATAAATTTGTTTGATGTGATACATGTGTGTATAAGTTTTTAAATATAGAACTGGCTAAAAAAAAAAGAATTGCCGAAAAATAATTTGGTCAAGGCGAACTGTTTGTGATTTCTTTTACAAATTTGAAAAATATATAAACTTTGTATTTATTCTCAGATCAAAAGGGTGACTTCCACCCACGTAAATATAAATGATGAGACCTGTCTGAAGGCTCTTTAATAGATATATAAGAAGAAAAGTCAGCGGCTAAATTTGGAAGAAGTTCAAATTTTCGACCAGAAGGTGTAATAATTTTCCACGAGAAGGTAATGAAATTTTCGATGAGAATGTGTGGTGAATGCAAATGTAAAATAAAATAAAGTATGAAAATAAAATATATAAACAAAAAAAGAATTCAAATCAAAATAAGACATTTGCGATTTCTTTTAACCCCCACTCTCTCTCCCCCCCCCTCTCTCTCTCTCTCTCTCTCTAACTTCTCTCTATATACTTCTCTCAACCAATGAAAAGTGGAAGAAGAAGCTCACTCTCTCTCTCTCTCTTTGTCTCTCACTCTTTGTCTTTCTCTCTCTTTCTCTAACTTCTCCCTATATACTTCTTTCTCAACTAATGAGAAGGTAACCCTCAAACGAAGAGGAAGAAGAAAAGACTGAACCGGGCTGAAAAACGGCGAAAGTTTGCGAGACCAGACTCTACATATTTATGAGTATAAATCTACCAAAATAAGAGTGGCTCCACGCATAACATCCGCTATATATTTTCTCTTCCCTTAAAGAACATTTTCTTCTCCCTTTCTTTGTCTCCTAATTGTCTTTATCCCTTTACTCATTTTTTTCTGTATATGTAAATAAACACTTTCATCTTTTATTGTTACACGCCGAGCAGAAGTTTTGGTCTTTATTCGTCCGCCTAAAAGAGAGAGTTTGTCCGCACTAATCTTGCTGTTTTTATTCGTGTTTTGTCGCAATTTTTTAATCTCAACCCTGTGCTGTTTCTTATTTTATTTTCCACACACACATACACACAATAAAAATTAATTCACACCACGTAGTGAAAAGCACACCACATGGTCAAAAATAGGATTTATTGACCAATCAGGACTCGACATAAGAAACCCATTTCTTAATCTCCCCGGAGCCTCATCATTCTTATATAAGGAAGGTAGAAACTCTCATCAGAAGGGAGAGAGAACAGCGACAAGCTGACATCAAAGCGACACGGACAGTTTCGAGCACACACACACCGAGAGGATTCAGCGGTTCACACAACAGGCAGTATCATGTATCAGTGAACATTCTTTCACCCTCTCTTTCTCTCATCTCGCTCGCTACACATAGTCCTACCTTTCCCTCTCACATTCCCAGTTCCTTTCTTTCTCTTTTTCTTCCGCAGCTTTACGGACAATTTCATTTTAGTACAAGGAAAAAAATAATTCTTTACAAAATAAACAAAAGTTTATGTTACTTTATTTGTAGTGTATTTTCTTTTTATTATTTGTTTGAGGGACTTCTTTGCACCCTCTACAACCCTTTGATGCGGGAAAGCCGGGACAAATTTTCCTGAACCTTATCTCTGATAAGGAACAAGGCATTGCGATCTGGATTTGAAAGCAAGGGAAAAAAAAGCTGGGATGAGGATTAGAAAAGCGGCTAGCAATGTGAATCTGTAATAAATTGTAGTCGTGGTTCTCAAATTAAATTCTCATGCATTTTTAGAAGGCCAAAAATTGGTGTATATTTGGATTAAGGAAGTTATCCGAAGATAACCACCTATAACCAATTTGGAAACCCCTACAGTACACAACTAGGAGTAAATCCACCACACTACAATAAAGTGACGCGAGGGAATTATTCAGGTTTCAGGTTAGCGTACTATTCTCACACAGCTGTTGCTCCTGCCCTAAATATTCATAAAAATGTTAAAAAAAAACAAAAAAAACTTTCGTTTTCATTCAGAGAAACATTTTAGATTAGAGTGACTTTTTAATTGTCATCTCCGTTAACCAAATTCTTTCTATTGATGATTAGTTTTTTGCTGTTGATTTTTTTCAAAAAGGTCCAGTTATGTCTCCCAAGAAGGCGCATTAAGAATACGATAGTAACCCCCGCCAATGAATTAGTTTAGTTAGGAAGATGATCTGAGATAATGCTAGTTTTCGTCTTTTCAGAGGTTACATCTTTATCTAAATTCGCGCTATCAGTTGAAGGGTATTCGATCTGTGGGTTGTGATTAAAAAGTTACACTAAGATAACGAAAATTATATCAACATGAATATACATTTCCCCTATCAAAATACAAGAGTTATCGTCCTTAATATTCAGCTATTCATTATAGAGTTATTGCCCTTGTTTCTGAAATACGCACGCATGCTAGAAACGGCTTAGCTTAACCCAGTTATAAAATAACACTGCGTAAGAAGAATAAGTCGTCCCAAGGTGATAATGGCTTTGAGAGGATTGCAGTTATTTAAGGGTCTGTCTAGATGCGCAAGCAGAAGCCCTGCGATTCTCCAGCAATATGTAAACCTGCCGGTATCATCACGGCTCTATTGTTCAGGTGAGAGAAAAATGCACCGGCCTGTTTTTCTTTTTATTTATTTATTTAACAAACAATCAAAAAAAACTATTTAAAAAATGTTTAAAAAGAATTCATTTTCGTTATTGTGAAAAAAACTAAAAGATTTTTTTATTTTAAATGACAATAATGCCTTGACAATTTGCTCTTTCTATTTCAATTTTAAAGACTCGCACAATTTTTTTTTATCAATTTTCAATAAAGGCCAACTATTTCAAACACTTGACTGACAACGTCATTAAATTAAAAAAAATAAAAATGATTGTCTTAAAAAAAAACAATGTTCTGGAACTGTACCTCGGCGCTATTACACTTTCGCCCCCCACTCCAAATAAAACAGATAAATTTATAAAATGAAAAGAAACTTATTTTAAATTTTTTTTTTTTTAAGTTTAACTTCGTAAAATTAAATTAAAATAACAAGTTGGACTGTTGCAATTTTTAGTGATTAAATTTAATTTACAAATACCATGGATTTAAAAAGCTTCTGTGATGTGTTTTTCTGCTGTCAAAAGTTTCTAAAATGAAAGTCAGAAAGATAAAGAAATTAAATATATAATTTAAAAATTAAAATCCACAAATTAAACAAAAAAGGAAATCTATTCGTATACTTTTTTTTTTTTAACTGAAAAAGAACTAAAGACAGAATGAAAACATCGTGTGGTTGACAGTGTCATGGGAGGAGTGTAAATAGCACTCTGTACCTCTACGAAATCGCTAAAAAAAATCAGCATAACGTAAAAAGTAAAATGAAAACAGTTTTATCGTCAAAATCTTTAAGAGGAAAGATCAAAGTATTTTTTAATATTGATTATTTTTTTCTTTTTTGATTGATTAAGAAAAAATCTTGTTTTTCTTGCGTTAACAGAAGACACGGTGGAGTCAAAATGGATAGCGGCTCAGATTGAGGAATCGCAGAGCCGAGTTCGAATTCCAGTCAAATCTATTCACTTACGAAGAATCTTCTTTTTCTCCCCGCAGCTTACTAAGTAAAATTATATTTACTAAATCATAAAGCTTATTGCAATATTCTAACACCCCGAATATTTTGAATTTTTTTTTTATATGCCGGATTTTATAAAAAATTTTTAAAGCCAAACTTCAATAAAACACTAAGTCACTAGAATTAGATTAGATTCATTTACGGTGACTATTTTCTTAAATTTTTAAGATTACCGAGTACTTAAAAAGGCGTTCGCGTTATATTCCTCAATTATTTTTTATTTTTATTTTTTTCAGATTAAAGCCCCCGTAGAACTAAATAAAAATCTGTCATCGTGCTGTCACGGAAGTGTTTAAAAAGCTGTCAGCAAAACTACTGTCGTGTTGAAAAATGCATTTTTGTGATATTTTTTTTAAAAAAAAATAATAGTTGTTTCAAATGGGTAATTTGCTTTTTAAGAGGAAGCCCCATGCTAAATATCATATGTAATAAAAATTTTCCGAATAGTTATATTTAGGTGTAAATTTATATGCTTAATTAAAAAATAACAAAGAAATTTTGATAAAATCTACCGTTTATATTTGAAATGCTGTCAAAAAATTTAGGAAAAACAGTTAATAATTCGTATTGATAATCCACTTGTTGACTTTGGTCTTCTCTTCTATAGAGAAAGAAATTATTCAAAACAATGTTATTTTTTTCTGTAACCTCTAAAAAATAACATCAATAAAGTTAAAGTTAACCTTATCTTTTTAGTTCTTACTTTAAAAAACACAAAAATTAACCCTATTTCATTGCTTATAAAATGTCATAATGCTTTGAATATTGTCTATTTAAACGCCCCAAATTATTTCTGCATACCAATTACCATTTAGTTTGCCTAACCTCATGTCTCACATGATTAAATCAACAATGCCCAATATTCACAGAGGTCATTTTACTACAGTTTATGTCGGACATTAAAAATATTAGAGAAACATCAAAGCACTAAAATAACAATAAACACATCATATTTAAATAAATTTTAAAATAATATTATGTATACTAAAATATATATATATATATATGTATGTATGTGCGTGTGTGATCATATAGCGGTTACTATGTTTTTCACACCCACATACACTCCAAGTCATTCGCTTGTGATTGGGTAATAAATTACTACTACCTTTGTATAGGACAATTTAGCCATCGCAGTTGTTCCTTTGACTCTTTTGGGTCTGAGTATACTTAACTGTTCTGTTTAGTACGTGTGTAGTGATTGGGGTTAATTTTTAACCAATCACATACTTTTAATGTAGATCAAGTTTTCCCACGTTCCGTGGGAGCCTACCTCTTTTCCTTAAATAGGGCAACTTTTCGCAAGTTGCCAGTAAAATCCCAGCCGTCAACACAAATCCACGATCTTGCTCATCATACTAATGCACACAGAGACACAGAATTTCGTAACTACAAACTTACATTTTCTCTCTGTAACTTTCGCCAAGCACAATCAACCAGAACGTTGTTGATTCAAACCAGTTTATTCACAACACATTTCAAGCAATTGTATTTCTTCATGTTATTCATTTTTCACATGCAAACTTTGCTCTAACAATTATTTCAGAATGTTTATCTCACAAGAGAACTTTCTTCAAACAGTTGATTACAATCTACAGTCAAAGGGAAAGAACTTCCTTCTCTTTAATCTACATTGTGAATACGATTTTATTTCATGCTACTTGTTGTATTTTATTCAATATATATTTATTGGTTAAAAAAATTAGAGTTGATGTTATTATTTCTTGAATCCTGTACATGGAAGAATCATTAATATAAATAGTAGTAGTAGTACCTATATATTTGGTGTTCTTGCTACATTTAGTGAATTGACCCGACACTATGTTTGGTACATACGCTACAATCATAAAATCATCAAAAACAAAAGAATTAGCATAATGTTCAGCAAATGTTCTTATTTTGAATTCCTGCAGACACATGGCATTTGTGTGTTGTTTTCTACTCCCAACACCAATTTTGAATTCAGACTTGTTTACATCTGTGCTCTGCCACTGACATTACATTTCAATTGTGATTTAGAATACATTTTTGCCCATGTCTCCAAAGTGCTAATGCTATAGCATAAAGTGGAAATTATTTTATTCAGAATACTGTACCTGCATATAAATACTGTAATAGTCAATAGGGAATGTTTATTTGCGGTTTATAGTTTGGTTATTTCGAGTTAAGTCATTTTTCAACCGAAGGCATGACCTCTAGAAGCAATTAGCAGCGATGGGGTGATGTATACTTGTATATTGCATTTCGGATACTTTTCTTTTTTTTATGATGGTTGACTTTTCAAAGCCAAAGAACGGCTCGGAACATGAGGCTCGGTGAAGCAGTTTTATAGAGGTAATTCAATGTTTGATATGTAGAAATGATTTCGGACATTAAAATCAATGATATTCATTTCTTTTCATTTCATTTACTCGACACCGGAGATTTAGATTGCAATTTCAAAACTGGTGTTTTCATTACCCCCCCCCCCTCCATTCACTCTGTACGAAACAAATTTTAATTTTTAATTATTTGAAAACATACTTGTTTTATTTTTATCTTACAAAAATATGGTAAACTCTCAGTCTAATCACACTGCATTAAAGCTAATTTAAAATTTTTGAAGTGTTTTACTTTTATAAAATAATAATAATTGGAGGCAATGAAAAAATATAAGCAATAACCTTATAAATATAACCTTATAAATATAATATAACCTTCAATAACCTTATAAATATAATATAACCTTCAATAACCTTATAAATATAATATAACCTTCATGCATGCCAAAAAATGGTATCTTGAAAGGACTTTTTTTTTTTTTTCTTTTGACACTTATTATTTTTTTTTTTAACTACCTTCACTCTTCTTTGGCAATGTGGGAACCTGGACGTGGCGTAATGGTTAGCAAACTTGTCTCGCTAGATCAATTATGACTGGGTAGTGAGTTTGATCCTCACAAGGGTGCCCCATAATTTCGGTCTTTTGCCACATCTAAGCTACACTTAAAAAATCACAACTCTTCAACAATGTTTTGTTTAAAAAAAAAAAAAAAAAGACAATAATAAGAATTTTAATAAAACCTAAAAATATCAAAGTAAATTTATACATTTTGGTTCTTGAGAATTGATAACATAATGTATGGCATTATGATGGTATATAATTTACTTTCCACAATTTTTTGATATGTACGTTGAATGTCTGGAAGCTATTTTATGGTTTCAATCAAGAAAATCAATATCGATTTTTTTTCTCCAGATTAAAATAAAATTCAAGAAGCACTAACATTAATTAAACAAGACATAAATCCATTGTCACTTGATGCCAAAATGATAAAATTTTGAGTTTTTTTTTTTAATTCTTTATTCATTGATTTCACCTGAACTATTCTGACTTAGCAAAACAATTCTACTTTGTTCTGAGAAAAAATTTTTGAATGATCTTTTCCCCTCCTTCTTTTTTTTTTTTTTTTTTATTAGAAAACTTTGTATGTAATTTTTTAATTTAATATTTTTTCAAAGTTTCAACAAGTAATGATAACCTTTCCTTTTTATGCTTATAAAGTAAGTGTTATTTTCTTTTCTTTTTTTTTTTCAAATGATAAAAAATATTGAATTAAAAACACTAAAACCTTTTTAAATATGCAGAAGTATTTTTATTACAGTGAGCTTTATGATGCTATTTTCTTGTAATTAAACCATTTAACTTATCCTCAAACGAGCTCTAATTTGAAACTAAGTAATTGTTTCAAATTATATATCATCAGGAAGATATTGAACGTAAACCTATGCTAATTGACGTAACTTTTGACTTGATGACAAGCTAACAACTTAAATGAGAAATGGCATTTTGCAGTTGCAGGGTCTAAAACTATAGTAGCACCATTTCTATCTTTCTCAACAACTTTCTCTGACCTAAGTTGTTATTTACTAAACTTAACTTAGTTTGGCCTCAAGAATGGAACATCCAGTGATGTTTAAACTCACAAGGGAATAGTTATGATCAACCAGACAATCTCAGTAACCTTCATCCCACATTGAGGTGCCCAGCTTTGACCTTAGTCACTCAACTGAAAATGAGTTTTCTGAGACTGCTGCTGCTAATATATTTCTCAAACAAAGCAATTTAAAAGTAGCATTCAAATTGTATCAGAATAATAGCTTGCAATTTACAGATGCATAATGTGGCAGAGAAAGTTTATTTGTTATCATCAGACAAGGGCAGAATTTGATACCCCCAATCTTGTTTTTAATCTAGTCACTTGATAATGACAGAATCTAAGGTTACATATTGTGTTCGATCATAAGAAAATTATCTGGTTCTTTCAGCCATTACCGTGACTTTTATCTCTCTTAACAGGTACAATCTGAGGAATGATATTCCCCCACCCCGCTAACAAGGCTTCTTTTTAATCGGTTTAAAAATACTTGAAAATTAGGGCACATGATTCTTTGTCCACAAAGTCAAAACACCCTCATTTCTTCCATATTCACATTGTAAGAAGTGCCACTCAGACAACTTTTCCCCCAAGAACTGCTACATTATGCAACAGACTCCCATGTGGATGCTTCCAGAACACTTTAATTTTGACCTCTTCACGTCAAGGGTCATTTGTTATCTAACCTTATAATCTTCACTTCTTACCACCACCTCTAACATTTGCATCACATACTTCATTCAGTAACCCTCTACTTTGAGTGGCTCTCGCGCCTTGTATATGAAGAAAAGATTTGAGATGAATTGTATGCTTAAAGATAAGAGGTCAACACTGTTGAAGATGCTTATGTAAAGGAAGAATGAATATATCACTTGCAAGATCAGAATCTGTAACTTCATAATCCATATATAATAGCAATTTACTAAGTGTAGTTTAGATGTAGCACAAGGCTGAAAGTTTGGAGCACCCAGTGATGATCAAACTCAATACTCAGTCATAAGTAATCCAGTGAGCCAAGCTTGCTAACCATTACACAACATCAAAGTGCTCAAGTCCATATATAATAAACTATGCAGCATTATTTATCTTTTCTTTTGTTAATGTGTGTCACTAATCTCCAGTTATCCATTTTTTCCCCTGGGTATGACAGCAAGGCCTCTGATCAGGGGATTGGAGGTATTGAGTACAACCTGGGGTTGTAACATCTGTTAGGGTCCCAGCTATGAGAAAATGTGAACTCCCAAACAAAAACAAAACACTATGAAAGTATAAAAATGCATTTTTATAGTAAAATTACCAACAATACATTTTTAAATCAGAATGACCAACAATACAATTTTTGTGTCATTGAAGCCATAAAATGGTGTTAAAATATTTAGATTTCAGCATTAAATAATCCATAGAGTTTGTGATTCCGCTAAACAAAATTTCTCTTCTTTTTTTTTTTTTCTCCCCATTCTCAACTAACTGAATATGCTGATTTATTTACTCTTCAAAATTCTCTAAAATATTTTTTAAATTATTTATTTCTTAAAATTTATCAAAGAATTGTAATTTTACATTAACAATTTAATGAGACAATGGCCAAACAGATCACTAAACTGAATAAGTTTGGAAATACTTGTTTCAAAAGTTTACAAAGAAAAATAAAATATTGTGTACTACATTCATTATAATTTTTTTTTTTTTTTTCATCCAGGTACTGATCTTCAATATATAAAAATTGAAAAGGCAGGTGCGGCCAATAATGTTGGTGTCATCACTTTGAACCGACCGAAGGCACTCAATGCACTCTGCGATGGTCTGATGAAAGAACTGAAAAAGGCTGTTGATGATTTTGACGCTGATTCTGAAGTTGGATGCATTATTCTCACCGGAAAGGGAAAGGCTTTTGCTGGTAAGTCCTTTAATATTCTGATTAATTGATTTGTTTGTTTAATGTCATATCACCACCTTATGGGTTACTTAATGTTGGAATTTAATTTTCTTGGGAGATTTAAAGTAATAAAAATATATGTTATTCTGCTTTCACAATTGAATACATGGTAGATGATACTCTGCTTTTATGCATGTACGTATTTGTGTGGACATAATTACTAGAGGAGGTGATGTGTGTATTTTATGTTGTAGTTTTGTTGAAGTTATATTTTTGGAATACAGTTTAATTTTCTTTAAGAAATTGTAGGATATTATTCCAATAAACATGCACGGCACCACAAAATAAAAAGTTTGGCGTGGGGTGTGAAATCAGATGTTAAAAGTTGGGTGGGGGTACTGTCAGGTGTTAAGTTTTAAAGATAAGATTCTATGTGTTTTTTTTTTTTTTTTTTTTTTTGTTTTTTTGTTTTTTTTATCTGATTCTCTTATAAAGTTATTTTTAGATCTATTATCTAAACATTTTTGATTTAATTTTAAATACATATTTTTCTTGTTCATTTGTACTTATTTTTTGTATATAAGACTTTGTATGGATACAAAAGGTGATTATCTCCCTTTTATCTAGATGATGTTACATAAGTCACTTGATGGCCATTTAGTGATATCACTTCATACAGCCCCTTGCCTCACCCAGGTAGAAGCTAAATTTGCCCCTCCCCCTCAAAAAATAATGGGGTACTAATAACGTCATAGATAACAGGTTAGCTATTAAAAATAGATTTATCCTCTCATTTTTTTATTTCCCCATTATGGACATTATTATATTCATGTAATAACATTGTATTTTCATGAACAGAATGGAATAGTTGTAAAGAAAGGAATGACAAACATATTTTGTGCTCAGAGGTTATTTCATACATAAAATTATCTCTATCTATAAAAGGCAGGATGTGTGTGTGTGTGTGTAACAAATGCACGGCAGCAATTTTTGATGGATTTGCACCAAAATTTACATGCACATGCTCCAAGTTAGCAGGAAGGCCAAGACCAACTTTGCATTCCCCAACTCCCATCGATAGTGGAAATAATCAATTTTTTTCATGCTTCTACGGCAGTTTTCATGTAGTTTGCGGCCATTTTCTACTGGCCAGAGTGAGAGCCAATAGCTGGCTGCCATGAATAGGCAGGAAGATTCTATTGGCTAGTGTGAAAGCCAACAGCTGACTGACACGAATGTTAACTAGCATGCAAAAAAATCGATAGCTGCATTCGTTACAAGTGGGAAAAATTTAAATCTGCATGGTATTTTATTCCAATTGGCTCATTCGCTTGCTTAAACTCAACATTGATTCTGATTCCGCAGAACTGGGTTGGGTGTGAAAAAGTATTTGTTGTTAACATTCTTTTTTCATTCAGTCTTTCCAGTTACAAGTCCTTTTTTAAAGCTGATCGTTTTGTGTTCATTTTGTTTAGTTCTTTTTTCATAACAGATTTAATGTTTAGTATAGAGCTTAGAAAAAATTTGCAGTGTGAGATAGGCAAGAAGTAAGGCATGTAGCAACATCAGCATCACAAAGGGCACTCCTTTAAAGGCAAGGAAGGGCAAAAATATTTTAAGTCAAGTGATAGCAATTGCTGTATGAGTCATACGATTTTTGAATCAAGCACGGGCAACACCGGGCCATCCTGCTAGTATATACATATTTGCATTTATCCCATTCAGAGAAAATATAACAAATATCTACACAACAAGCAGTTTGCTGGAGAAGCTATATTTAGGAAACAGTGAATCCTGGTTTTTTTTCTTAATTGAGTTCTATGAGCTGGAGATATTTTCTCTATCTGGTGAAGATATATTTCTATAGGAAAATGTTGCCAAATCCTTTTAAGCTACACCAAATGGAAACTGGCTTGGTGAAGCAGATTTAGCCTCCATCCACATGAAGCAATGGCCTCTCCCATTGCTAAAAAAAGTAATTGCTCAGTTTGACTCCTGGAAATTGACTGAATTCCACTTTCATTACTGTATAAAGTAACATCACTAAACAACCATCATGTGAGCCATGTGACTTCATCTCAACCAAAGAAAGATAATCACCTTTAATTATCACTACGGTAGGATTATCCCACCTTTTCTGTCAGGGAACTTCTCATGCCACCAACAAGGCTACACTATAAAGGACTGTAAAAGGAAAGGACTCAAGCCTTCTCTCTCTCCCCTTTTGCTCTTCAACCACATCTTGCAGTCACAAGACATGTCTCATCTTGGCACCCTGGAAAACTTCTTAGTCACCAGGCAAACACTTTTTTATTTTCATTTCAACCAAACCACATGGTACATCACACATGCTACAGCTAATCATATAAATGTATTTTTCTCATTTTTCTGATATGTTTATTCTGTATATCTATATAATACTAAAATTCTAATGTATGTATCTAATTTTTTTCCCCAAGATAAAGCTTAAACAATACATAATACACCAAACTATTGTACCATGAACCCCTGCTAAGTACAGTGCCAAATTTTATTAGAATTAGACATGGTGTTATGGAACTAGAGCCGTTTTTTCCTGTTTTTATGGCATTTTTAATATGAAATTCGGTATTTGTTTCTATCAATCCCCATATATAAACAAACACTTGCATATTATATTCCAGCTATTAAATCTGTGAAAAATAAACATTCATAATACATAACAACATTATTAAGTAAATTTAAAAATATATAACGCATTTATTTATACAATTCACTACACTACATTATAATTTTTATTTATAAACAAATATCTTGGATGTTTGGCAACTACTTGACAGGCAAAGAGACAACTGGGTGTGTCATTGTACCAAGTAATCCAGATGACTGGAAAACTGTCTCGCATGACTTTATACTAAATAAATAAATAGATACCTGTTGGTTTGCTACAGTTATGTATTTTGAAATAAATATAAGGAAGAAACAAGTATGTATAATAAAAATATAATTATTTTGAAAAAAAAAAAATGACAAAGGAAAAAATGAAACTAAGTGCACAAAAAGGAGGCATCCATACTTTATTTCTATAAATATGAGTCCCTCTTTCCTAAGCAAACCATATTTTTTGTTGGGGGTGGGTGAGCTTCACCTTTGAAAATTATAATATGGTAAATACTAACATTGGTATAAATTGTCACTATTGGGCTACTTCTGCCAAACTAAGTGTTATTCATGGAATCAGTATATGAATTGTTAAAACTATTAAATTTATTTTAGGTATCACCACCAACTTTTAAAAAACCCTCAAAAAACACATTTTAAATACTGTCTTTGAACTTAAATTTTGGTTCTATTTGAAAGATAATGGTCTAAAGTTAATCTGTATAAAAAGAAAAATTAATTTCCATGTATAAATAAACTTTTCAGGCAATTTTATAGCAATAGTATGATCCTGTTGCTGTGTACTTCACTGAATGCCACTCTTATTCTGGTCTGTGTGAGCCCAACCTGCACCAATTCTGTGCCACACATTGTGTTTCAGTATACACAGGAATATCAGTAAAGAACTGTCAAAGATCAGGCTTGACTGCGCTCTGTCTTGGCTATCCTTGTGAAAGACTAAAATCACTGGTGTCGCCATTAAACTTAATTAACTTCTAAAACACTCGTTAACAAGTGTAAAAATATTAACTTTTATTTATGGTACTATGATTAAGATCAGGGATACATAAACATATGGGATTTGTAGAAGTTTACTCATATAAGGAATTCTCAACTGTTTAAATGAAGGCAGTTGATCGAGGGAATTAAAAAAAAAAACAGTGCAGAGAACAGGTCTTTAGCTTATTTAGGCACTACAGACATCTGACAGGGAGAATGTTGGTCTACTACCTTATGAGACCTGTTCAATCTTACTTCTCTGCTCTTTCAGCAACTGCTTTTTATGGGGGTGCAAACCCCAATTACACTGCTCTGATTGGCCAGCCAATAATGTTCAATCAGTAGTCTTGTGCCAAACGCCTTGAATGGGGGAAAGAAATATCCCAGAAACCCAATATGATTGATGGTCCAATCAAAATAATGGCCCTGTGTCATAAGTATTGGAGGGGAGATGAAAAAACCACATCCCAGCCTCTCTCATTGGAGGGCCAATCAAAAACGGTAGCCTTATATTGCCCATATCCACCTTCAGTAGAATATTTTCCATGTTCCAGAATCTCACCCTAATTTGACCTGATTATCGCAGGTGTCATTGTCAATTCTATCTGAAAGTGCGTCATATCCCTGATCCAAACAAACCTGACCTATTAAAATCTGCTTTGTGTCCCTCATTTCAATGAACAATTCCTTTATCAAAATTAACACTTAGGTTAATCAGGCCTAATACCTAATGACCAATCCCATCCAAGCTTACAATTTCACCTCTCACATTATACTCCATAAGTTACATAAACCAGATAATTTATGGTATTACATTCTTTTAACATGAAAATATTTTTCATTCTTTAGAAATAAAAAGTAGATTGCCAGTTAACCTTTGACACCAGTCATGGTGTCATATTAATAATTTTTTTGTCACTCATCAACTTATCGAGACACCACTGTATACGAAAAATGTAAACAACAAATTTAAAATTCTCTTTAAAATCCAATATTTGTTCTTGAGGTGTTTCAAGTTCTATTGGTTAATTTAAGGATTAACTGGATTTTTGAAAAGTAATGCTTATTGTTTACTTAAAAACAAAATGAAAATAATGTCTTATTTATGCCTGCTATCCTGTGAGGTCAAAGGACACAGTAGAAATACAGTCATTCTTCCACTGTCCTAAAAAGCATGGAGAAAAGTAAAAATAAAACCTAAAGAAATGTGGAAGACCAGTTTTTAAAACTAAATTTTCTGTAACCTTATATAACCAATAGTTTAAGAATATACTTTTTTATTCTATACGCTTTTATTAAACTTAGTAAAATGAATAATTTTATTTTTTTTATATTACCTGAATGGGAGATAGAAAATTAGATTAATATCATAATACTCTTCCAGTATTAAACAGTAATCAGTCAAAGCAAGATATCAGAATAATTTTCTTTTAGTACATCCATACCAAAAATAATCTAACAATTACTAAAGTGGAAAAATTCTTTTACAAAAGGTTCACTCTTGAGAATGACATTAACTTGTATAATATATAATCTGTATGTATGTGTGTATGCGTACTATATACTGTGTATGTATATTTGTGTGTAATATATACAATTTGGGTTTGTATAATGTGTGCGTATATTTGTATAATATAGGGTGTGATGGATAAATTGCCATCAGAATTGCACAAAAAGGAAAATAACACTGACATCTGATTTTAACAGATATATTTTCCAAAATCACACAAAAATATCTTGAAATACTAAAAAGAGTAAATTTCTTAAATAAGATTGCCATTGGCTTCAACAACGGACTCCAGACAACTTTGGAATCTCCTGCATCTTTTTTCGATGATCTCCTTGTTTAAGTTGGTGAATGCTGCCATAATCATTGTTACAAGGAGTTTTGTTGGTCTCTCACTCAACTGCACCTCACACATAATAATCAAGCGGGGTGCAGTTTGAGGAGTTAGGTGGCCAGATGTAATGAGGGATATGGTCACAGAAATTGTCTGACAGCCATGACTGGGTTTTCCTGCTTGTGTGGCATGGTGCAAAATCCTGTTGCCAGACATAGGGTCTTCCAGCAGCCACCCTCTTGACCCAGTGCAACACTACCTCCTCGAGTCACTTGATTGAGTCAATGTTGAGTCTGAGGCCCTATGGAAAGATAAATGGAGGCATAAATTCGTCATCACTAGTGATAACTCCAAACATCTTCATAGTCACCATTAGACTCCTCTAATTCTTTCCGAATACTCTGCACTGTCCTCAGATTGACACCCAGACACTCTGAAATGTTCATATTGGAGCTTCCAATGCAAATGCAAAGCAGTACAGAATGCCATTTCCATATTTCTGGCAGAGTGAATTGAATCATGGTGCTCTTTTTCTCACAGACCATGCCCAACTGACCCTAGTTGACAAAATCCAAAACAACGCGCATGTGCAAAATTAAAAATATAAAATAGCGACACTTTACCCATCTCACCCTCTGTGTGTGTGTGTGTGTGTTTGTTTTACAGTAAGATCATAAAAGTAGAAATTCTTGTGAACTCTGAATTTTTCAGAGAGATCACAAAATTTTAGTCATTTCATTAAAAACTCCCTTTTTTGGTCAGAGATCTTATGTAATCTTCAAAATTTGAAGGTGTTTCAAATGAAATGACCAAGAAAAATAGGCATTTATTTTGTAAAATCACTTAATGATACTATCTTTAATTAAATTCAGCTTTCAATAAAACTTGAGAGAGAGCTGTCAATGTAGTTTAAATTGAAAATAGTTATCATCTTGACATAAGACAATGGCAATTATATATGACTTTTAAGTGCTGATGTGAAGTATTTTTGATCTGTCTGTAGTCAGGGCGTTGAGCACTTTACTGTACAGGTAGGTATTTGCCTTTTGGTTTTTCTTACCTTGTTTGAGATTTTTTGTGTTAGTTTGTCAGGTAAGTTGCCTGTTGATCACACCAAATCGTGTGTGTGTATATATATATATATATATATATATATATATATATATATATATATATATATAATATGCTTGTATGATGATAATTATATATAAAACATTAACATAAATAAAATATGTTTTATTTGATTTTTTTTTTCCCTTTCCCATTAAGCTGGGGCTGATATTAAAGAAATGAAGGATCAGCAATTTTCACAAGTGTTTTCTGACAACTTCCTTCATCATTGGGACGGCATAACAGAAACCAAAAAACCCATCATTGCTGCAGTTAATGGATATGCTGTAAGTAAAATATGTCTTAAGAATTTTACAAGTAGCATTACTGATGCTAATCTGAAGATGAGAATAAATATCAAAACACATTAAGCCTTAAATGGTGGGTATCATCAAATGATGTTTCAGTGAATCTCATCAATTGATGATTTAAACGTTTTTTTTCCAATGATAAGGGCATCATTCATTTATTCATTCATGGTTCAAGTCTAAAGGATTAATTAGAAACTCTAGGATTAATGAGATTACATCATTTCCTGGAGTATTTGTCTGCAAACAAAGCTGGAAGAATGAGCCCATGCCGGCTTGTGTAAATCTGGAAGAATGAGCCCATGCCGGCTTGTGTAATTCTGGAAGAATGAGCCCATGTCGGCTTGTGTAATTCTCAAAGAGGAAAAGGAGAGAAAAATGATGCCAAGAATGCATGGAACACTTCAAGGACTGTGAGAAAATATTAAATTTAGGAATTTAGCATTATTTTGATTTCCTTTTTTCTCTTTTATTTTCATAATCAGCAGTTAAAATATAATTTTTGTAGTTTTTATACATAATTAAATTTAAAAGAAGCATAAAACTACTCTTGAAAAAAAATTATTTTTCATAGATTTTTTTTTTTTTTCAAGTTCATGCAACCTTTTCCTGTCATTTAAGGGTTAAAGATCTCTGCCAGTAACAATTTTGGTCTGTGTCTATTTAATATTCCTGCAAATTTTAAAAAGTTGATCTCATAAAAATGTATTTTTTACTTTGTTACAAGATCATATTTAATCACTGATTTGTTTTAGTTGTAAATCATTTCTAAAATGTACTTCATTTGATGGTATCTAAAACCCCACTCATTTACATTTAATGTTCCTTATCACAAAAGTCATGTTATGTACAACTACTAATGGTCTACAGTATCTGAATACAAGTTAACCTACCAGCTACCTTAAGGTCTGAGAAATGGTTTTGATGGTGGAAAAGATGGAGAGTAGAGTAGTATCAAATATAGAATTTTAACTGTAAAACTTTACAGAGAAAAAATGGTTTTGTCAAAGAATTAATATCAAAATAATAATAATAAAGAGCTTTTTGCAGTGTGTTGTTTCAGTTTCTAAGTAAATGTTTAAACATGAATTTCTTTATTGTAATTATTTGCAATGAATCAATTCTCTACAATCAGCCTCAGATCAGACTCATACAATATCACCGATCATCACAAAGACATTAGTAGCACAATGCAGTAATATGAACTAATAGAGAAAAACAGATCTACTCAGGGTGAATTAGTTTCAAATCCATCAAGCATTAACAGCTTCAATCCAGAGTTGGGAAGAGAAAAAAATCTTTCTTACCATATCATCTGATAAGGATATTTATTACTTGTTTCTTCAGATTCCAACACGCATTCCTTACACACAGGTTTGTCTTTCTCATTCTGACCTGAAGATGCCTACTATAAAGAGACAAAACACATTACTTGAATAACTTTGCCACTTTGTTTTACCTCCAATTTTGTTCTGATATTATTTTATATCCTACTAACACCCAATAAATCTTTTATAGCAAAAAAAAAAAATTATTTTTTCTGTCACTATGTAAATATCTAAACATTGAAAAAATGATTAGATTCTAATGTTCAGTCTCTGAAAGATGCTAAATCTTAACATCTAACCACACAAGTTTTAAATTCCTATATTTAATCCTGAAAATGTTTTCTTTCAACATTAAAAATAATTAAAAGTAAAAAGAATAAAAGAATTTAAAATTTTTTAAAATATTCATTCTATACTGAAAACTTTATTAAACTATCTTTTCTTTTGTAACAGCTTGGAGGAGGTTGTGAACTTGCTATGATGTGTGATATCATCTATGCCTCTGATAAGGCACAATTTGGACAGCCAGAAATTCTACTTGGCACCATTCCTGGTAATATCTACAAATATCTTTTCATGATCATTTTTTAGTTTCTACCTGCTTAAAAAAAAAATCACTGCTGTGTTCTTGCTACAATGTTTGTTTTTGTTTTTTTTTTGTTTTAACATTTCTATGACTTTTTAGATAGAGAAATTTAAAAATTTCTAATTTAAAATTTTTGGAAAAGTTTATTGTGGCTATTTTCCAAAATTCACTTTTTTTCCAGGGGTTAAAGGGTCATATATCAAGAACCCTTTGACCACAAGATGTTAAATAGGTACCATTCAGTTACTATCAAGAATAAGTGTACCAAATTTGAAAAAATCTGTGTCAGTAATGGTTAGACCCCTGTTGATTTGACACAGAATGACCATGTTACAGATGGTGGAACATTTGGTCCTCAAGCAAAAGCTCATAGTGAACCCAAATTCCCTCTTTGCAAGTTTGCCCAATGAAACTCTGAAATGCACTATAAGTGACACACTGTTGGATAGAAGAGAAGACAAACTAATTCTTGACGGTTTCCTTCGTTATTCTTTCATAGTAGTGAAATATGTAATTGCTTTCTGAACACACTAATACTTACAAGTTATATTTACAAGACTATTTAGAAGTAAAATAAGCTAAAAATCTTATAACATTATGAAACCTTAAAATTGCAGTAACTGTAAAAATCTTTTGTGTCTGTCTAGATAAGTGTTTCTCAACATTTTTAGCCTTGTACCACCCTTGAAATAGTTATGTATCAGGTAACCCCTACTTAAAAATTACTATATACCATTATTAATATCTTTTGTATATTTTTATCATAGTTCACATAGTAAACATAATATATGGATATTATGCATACATCTTGTACTCAGGTGAGTCACTCAATGATACACAAATCTGCCATGTACATGTCCTACCCACTGACCAGTGAAGGCAGTTTCACACTAATGCCATATAGACATTGTTAAAAGCCTTGATTATAATAACCAAGGATTTTCCAACAATATGCCGTGTCATGTATATTGAAATTATGAATATAAAATTTTTAAAAAAGTGACTCAAAAATGCATTAGCCTATTTATCACAGTAATTGTGCTGTGTGTAAAGCATTTCTATGTGAGGAAAGTGAACAGTTATTTTTAATATCAAGATCAAATTTTCTCAATCTTTTTAGCCTTGTGCCACACTTGAAATATGTATCAGGTAAACCCTACATAAAAATTATTATATAACTTTATTAATATCTGATTCTTTTATATTTTTTATCATAGTTCATATAGTAAACATAATTTATAGACACCATGCATACGTCTTGTACTCCAGTGAGTTACTCAAAGATACACGAATCCACCATGTACAGGTCCTACCCCCTGACCAATGAAGGCAGTTTCGCACTAATGTCATATAGACTTTGTTAAAAGCCTTGATTATAATAACCAAGGATTTTCCAACAATATGCCGTGTCATGTATATTGAAATTATGAATATAAAATTTTTAAAAAAGTGACTCAAAAATGCATTAGCATATTTATCACAGTTTCTCACAGAATACCTAACAACCTCTTGCAGAATCCTAGTGTTCTGGGGAACACCAGTTGAGAAACACTGGTCTAGAAAAAAAAATGTTGATTACTCACCAGTCACTAGAACAGGCAACCTTTTCTGAGCAGAGGGCCTCACGAAATATGGCTCATCATAAGGCGGGACACAAGATTCAAGATAATTTTTCATTGAAGTTACCCCATTTTCACTACAGAAGAGCATATGCATAAGTATCTGCTTTAGAAATTGGGGAAAATTCACTTTATCTTTGGAGAAAAGATTTTTTTATCATTAAAAAATTGAAGTCTTGATATATTATCACTGATGACTGTCATTAACACATGCTGCTGCATTTCATTTGTTTCTAATTTATTCATTTGCAAATATTTTTTAAAATAAAAAAAAAAATAATTTCTTCTCCAGCAAAAAAATTATTATGAAAGTTTCCCTATTTTAAAGCAAAAGATGTTTACACATATGATCTTCCTTAGTGAAAAATTGCCAATGGTTTAAAATGCTGAAAATATTACCTTTGTTGTAGGTTTCTGGTAATGTGTTGGTCTTTTTATATATGTATTTTATGGGTATTAAAAGGGTATTATCAGCCTACAACTGGGTTATAAAATTACAGACAAAATCATTTATGAGATACAATGAAATAATCACAGACAAAAAACAATAAAATGCTTTAGTATACATTTCAGAGAAATCATTGTATATTTTAAAGAACATATATGTATACAGAAATAAAGAAGTTTCGCTTATCTGTAACATGTCTTATCAGAGAACTGTTCAGGACATTTGCCTCATTTGGCCATTGAAAAATGAAGAAAGTTCTGATTTTTGTTTCATTTTGCAGTAAAATGCTTGTTCGGATGCAGCATAAGAGTATTCTATATTTATTTAACTATTTTTTTATAAGCTTTCTCTTTATTTATTTTTAATTACCATTCTATGTATTTTAAAGTATTTTTATTGCTTAACTTTTGATTTTTCTTTTATTATTAATTATTTTGGTTCCAGACTACTACATAGTCTGGTAATAAGGATTGTACATTATTTAGTAATTTATTTGTTGCTGTCACTACACCTTCAACAAAAGATTGTAAGAGTCAAGAAATGTTCTACTTAATCACATGTATAAACAATGATTATGTATGAAAGAGTGTGAGTGAAAAAGGGGAAAATGAAACAAACTAAATTTTAATAAATGTTTTCCTCATGAAATTAGGCATGCCATCCAGAGAGCTAAATGAGCTGCATGCAGCCCATAACTGCACCAGAATATTCTATATTGTTTGAAGAATCAACCTCCTCTGCTTCAAAATGACACCTGTCAAATAACCATAACTCTTATAGAAGAGGATGGGAAAAGATTTGTGATAATGAATTTATTGCAATCAAGAGCTAACAAAGAGCTTTTTTTTTTTTTTTTTTAAGGTGCTGGAGGTACCCAGCGTCTGACAAGAGCTGTTGGAAAATCCAAAGCAATGGAAATTATTCTTACAGGTAACAGAATTACAGCAGATGAAGCAGAAAAGGCTGGTAAGTATAAAGATTCCTGAAGATGATCAAAAAATATTGTAACCTAGGGAAGGTTACTAAACAGAATAATCACACAAAGGTTGGTAATTGAATGATAATATTTAGGACAAGAACAACATGTATATGATCACCAGTGGTGCTTAGAAGAAATAGTCAACTGCTAGATGTGAGTCGAGTGAATTCCACAATGAATCTCCAACTGCAGGATATCTCCCAGCCGTCCAACTTGGCCAAATGTGACACAAGGCTGAATTTAATGTGGGGTATCCGAGCCTGTAGGCTTGGCCAAAAATTCCCTGTAGACCCTGTATAAAATGGGGTCGGGTACCTGTTTCCCAAGATGAGACTCTGTCCTTCAACATAGCCTCATCTGGAGATCCTCTGCCCAGAGGCAGAAAGTTTGATCAGCACTGCTGGTGACAAATCTCTGACTGCAGACCAACTTACAGTATTTACTACTTTATTTATGTGAATGGGAACATATCCATTATCATTCGTAAGTATATAACAAATATAAAATGTCAAAATAAAAGAATATTAGTCAAAAGAAATAAAAGTATTATCAGGAACTCTTACAACATTGACTAATTTCTTCCATTTTTCTATGTCTCCCATAATCTGCATTAGTTCTTCACTCCTGACATCAATATCATTTCTGATCTGCATATTCGTTAGTTGGACTCCTTCTTTTCTATTTTCCGTGCTCTGGCCCCACAAGAGTATGTTACTTAACAGCTTTTCTTTCCTTGTTCAAATTATTTATTTTTTTTTAATCATTTCACCCCAAACAAGGTAATAAAGCCACTGAGATGCACAGAGTTACTGAGTGTTAGAGAATATGAGAAAAATATACTATCAAGAAGAAAGGACAATGAATGAACAAGAATTAAGAATACAGAAGGTAACAATTGATATTGCATTTAAATTTTTGAAGATCCATTGCTAGGTCCACTGTTTCAAGTTAGAATCTCTTGTATATCAATAAGTCTAGATTTCATCCATGCCTCAAATATTGCTGCCAAATATGGTCCAGTGCTCCTGTCATATATTTAGAGATTCTTGATAAAAACCAAAAACGAATTGGGAATATTATTGGTCTTGTCATCTCAGCTTCAGTCACTTTCCCACCACCATAAAGTTGCTTCTCAATGCCTTTTCTATAAATACTTTCATGGTAAGCTGGAAGAGAGTTCCACATGTGAATTACAATAGAAGAAACTGCTAGCATAGAACTTAGTTACATTTCAACTGTAAAATGATGACACCTAGATGCCAATCTAGTACTGCACTTTGAGTCATTGAGTATAAATTTTATGAATTTGTCTTCTAATCTGTAGTGATTCCATCACAATTTACTTTTTACCATAGAGCTGTTTGTCTTTTGAATGATACACCAAGTATGGCCCTAAGCCTCCTCATATATTTTCCCTCAAGCTTATTGCTCATCATCTTTGTTAAAATTCAGCTTTCTGAACCGGAGAGCAGCTCACATTCCACTGTGGTTTAAAAGAAATTTATTTTTAGATGGTTTTGGAGATTTGGTTTCCATAGCCAAATCTCTGTGTATGTATTTATATAATGTTTTCATTTTTCATTGCAACAAACTATTTCTTATTTAACAGTTAAAATATTTCATCCTTGAAAATGGCTAAATGTATAGCCAAAAACACTCAGTAAAACAGAACATTGAACAGTATTTTTTATATAATTTATCATCTGAAAAGAAAAAAATTATTAGATCACATGAGAAATTGTATAAAAAATACTAAATCAATGCATCTTGGCTGTCGTATTCAATGAAATGTGCTTGAAAGAAAGATTGCTGTCTAAATACACAAAATATATATGTATGTATATATTAGGAGTACATGCGGAACTTATAATCTTTCAAACTATCTGTGGGCTCAAACCTTTATCCTTCAATTCCCAAACTTTTGGGGGAATTGAAGGAGAAAGGTTTGAGCTCACAGAAAGTTGGAAAGATGATAGATTCTGCACATACTCCTAATAGTCTTAGAGATGAGTGTGACTTATGTTTAGAAGAAAGAATTAGAATAATAAAATCCAATAATCAAATCCAGCTATTGAATCAAAGGAATGAATTAGTGTTAAAATGTCGACATAAAAACAAATTCAAATTTCCATAATATAGGTTTAATTTAATTAGCTACTATATTTCCATAATATTCACTCCTCTCTAACTCTTCAAATGTTTGGGTTTAATTTTATAAAACTTCTTCCATTTAAGACAAATACCTTCCACTCTCCCCTGACCCCTGCCTCATGCCTTTCACCTTACTGAAACATTGAATTGGATAAATTCTGTATTAATTTTTCAACTGTTTTTAGCTTTCACAGTTAAATTTCTATTTCTGACCAAACTCAGTCCACACCGAGGTTGATAAGTTAAATGACCAATATCTTCAACTGCTGAAATAGGTTATTCCTCATATGAGGTGATTTTGGATTTTATTATATAGTGGGTATACATATTTGAGTTGTTATCCCTGTTTTTTTTATTTTCTTAAACAGTAAAATTAATTACAAAATAATTTTTGTAAAATCCATAACTGGCCTAGATCAAGAATTTAATAATAGGAAATAATTTTGGATTAAATAATCCATTCAATATATATATATATATATAAAGAAATATAATCTTTACATGTGCCATATTTATGGGATAAATTGTTCAATATCAGAGATAGAGCGTGTGTAAATATAAAAGTGAACATAGAAGCCAACACTTAGAGGCAACAGTCTGTTTCCTGCTAGATGCAATCGTCAAGCAACTGATTGCATCTAGCATGATACAGACTGTCGCCCTAAGTGTTGACTTCTATGCTCACTTATATATATATATATATATATATATATATATATATATATATATATATAAATTTTTTTAAAAACTCCCTCTTCAGCCCTCTTTTAGTTTAAAATTAACACCTTCATATAACCCCAATTTAATGTCATAAGGTTAATATCCAGGTTTAATTTTATAAGACCCCTTCCCTTAAAGCCTTATACCTTCCACACTCCCCTAACCACCGTCTCGGTCATTTCTTCTGACTGAAACATAAATAAATGGATAAATTTTTTGACACTTGTCAAAGCTAAATTTCTAATTCTGATACAAACTCAGTCTATACATCAGAGTTGAATAAGAGTGACGGTTGAAATAGATCTCCCCCCCCCATATGAGGTAATTTTGGATTTTGTTGTATAATGCTATTTATATGCTCTGTTATAATAAATACATTGAGCTCTTTTTGTGAATCAGTTTTAATATTTTATATTACTAGGATCCACTTGGATTATATATCTGTGGATTTATTACCTGTACTTATATAATACATACATGTATATATATATATATATATATATATATATATATTTCAACAAAATCAAACCTGCTTCAGTGGGTAAATGTCCAGTCTATCTTCGTTTACCGTGGTTGGGTAGGATTAGTGAATCCTTCGCCAAGCGTATTTCATGTAGTTCACGTGAGTGTTATTTTGCAGCAAACATTCGTGTTTTCTTTCAAACTAAGTCCATACTTTCATCTATGTGTAAAGATGTTCTACCCCCCCCCCACACACACACACCATATTAACTCTGTCATTTACTATTTCAAATGTGGTTGTGGATGTGACTACATAGGCAGAACGACACAGCGGTTGGACGTTAGAATTAAACAACATGTACCTGCTATAATACTGAATAAAAAATTTTCTTTGGGCGATACCATTTGTAACACGTATGGGTCTTCGATTGCGGATCATTTTATAAAGAATCCAACTTGTGCAATGGATTTCAGTGTGAACTGGTTTTCCGTTTTGGCCAGTTCACATTCACTTTTCCATCTTAAGGTCTTGGAGTCGCTTTACATCAGGTCCAGGCAGCCTTCTCTTTGCAAACAAAGAGATTGTTTGCTTGGACTTGCTGTTCTGCGCTTCTAGCAGCTTGGTTGGTATAAGTTTTTTTTTTTTTTTTTTTTTTTTTCCCTGTCCATTCATTCATGTCACCCATGACAGACTTTTTTCTTCTCCTCATAATCTTAATTCCCCGTTAACAGCTCTGACAAGAGGGGACGAAACCGGTCGACTGGTGTGTGTTTTGTTTTAAACTTATCATGGCCTACAATACAAAATTTCTAGTTTTTAATGCCTTAATACGCTTTTGTACCGTTTCAAACCTATATATATATATATATATATATATATATATATATAAAAAGCAAATTTTCTTAAATTCAACCAACAAGGATTGTTTTAAATTTTTATTGTAGCTTCCAATTTTTGAATAAATTATTTTACAACTAAATCAAAACTTGATAAACTGTCCAAAGGTCATGTTTTTGTTCTAATACTTTTAACCGTCTTACTCATTATCAAAAACTCAGTGTTATCACAATCTTTTGTTTTTCTTTTTCTTTTTTTTGTATGTAACTGTTGAAATAAGTTCTTGATAATGACAGATATGGTCAGAAGTATTTGAACAAAATTTGTTTGTTATATATATATATGTGTGTGTGTGTGTGTCTTTAAATATTCTCAGATGGAGTGTATCTGTAGAAGTCAAAATGAATAAAAAGAGAAAAAGTATGGTTCCAATCTAACATGATTCACTTTTATATAATTTTTATAAATTATACTAATGTTGTTTTAACAAGTCAAATGCATGTGAAGCCTGATTAACCAATGAAAATTAAAGAAAATAAAATACCAGAATTTCTTTCTTCTCCATATCTCCTCTGATGAAGCTTTTGATAAAAGTGAAACATATTAGATTGATAAATGTTTGCTATTTGTTCATTATCTTACATAATGTGTGTGTGAAATGCAATTTAAGTAATATTAGTAAAACTCAAAATTAACTCATTTTTATGCAGCAAATCAGCTCTAATTTGAATTACCACATTTACATATATTAACCTATCAGCAATGTTATCACAACAGGGCTGAGACCTTTGAAATTTCAGATGACTATGTTTATCATCTGCTACAAAATTTGTAGGATCACTCCAGACAATGATCAACAATATTTTCCCTCCTAAAAATAGATATTTAAAAATTGGGAAAAATCTTCATTAACCAATAAACTCTGAATTTAGTAAAATCTGACTTTTAAATTTCTGGAGCCTATTTATTTCTTGTAAATATTCATGATGTTAAGTTAGTATTCAGTTTTTCCATAAACCTTTGACCAGAGTTGGTTGTTCATTGTTGTAGATAAGCAGAATTCTCAAAAAGAAATCTTTTGTATATTTTATTCAAGTAACTACTTACAAAGCTCAGCAATTTTTAAAGCAAATTAAGCACACTTGAAATATACAGACTGAGTTTGTTTACAAACATAAATGGTAGTATAATACAGCTATTGTTCACTGATTGCTTACTGCCACTACCAGAAAATTACACACATTTATAAAACAATGTAAATATGTGACACTCTCCTTATGCAGAGACATTCTATTTCTTCTATCATACTAACGCAATTGATTTGGTTGTATCGCAAAGAAAGGAAAAACGAAATATTTTTGTATTAATTTTTTTTCAATTTGAAAGAAAACAAACAAGTTTTGTTAAATTCAACCAAGGACTGTGTTTAATTTTTTATTATATTTTTTTAAATTTCAAATAAACTGTTATACTGGTGTACAACCAAATCAAAATTGTATATATTTTTGAGTAATTTTCACTGTCTCAGTCCCCATGCAGAACTGAACAAAATTGTGAACTTTGGTCAGTTTATCCACAATTTGGATGGATATCTTTTTTACTAATTGGAAAAATGCAATAGAAAATGAAGCAGTAATTAACAACTTAATAGTTGTATTTAATATAACTTGTTTAAAGAAATTTGTGCCATCTATATATATATATATATATATATATATGTGTGTGTGTGTGAAAATGGGAATCGATATGATTTGATGACTATCAGTTTCATGACAATGTTCTGTCTCCAATATTGAACACTCCTTCCCTATAAGTAGAGAGATAGGTTTAAAATTTACTCTAACAAAAAATATGCACCCTTTGTACAAATTAATTGACAGAAAATGAATAATTCTGTTATTATTCATTTTCTCTCATATTTTTCCAATGAAACATGACCCAGTGCACATTAGTACTTCATATGTCCATTCCATGAAGTCATTCCTTGCAGATCGACCACATTCTCGATTGGATTTAATACAGGAGATTTTTCGGGCCAGTCTATATTACTTTGATTTGCTCACTGGTAAGGTTTGCCAGTGTATTCATGTACCATTTCAATTTTTTGTACACTTCCCTAGAGTAACATCCATCGCAGACAATGGCAGTAGGACAACTAATCGACGGTTGAGACAACAGTGTTTGGGCATGATAAAAATTTGATGCAATCATGGATGATGCAATATTTTTCAAGGGCAAACAAATTTCATTAAACACCCAGAAAATAGATTCATATAACTGCACAACATTGCAATTGACATAATCTTAGGAAAAAATAGAAATCCATTACACCCTGTCACTCCAGTGAGTCTAAAACTGACCGTATGGTGAAAGAAAGAAAACTAAAAACAGTTGTTTCAGTTAATTTGCACAAGGGTGTAATATGTGTGTGTGCGTGTGCGCGCACATAAGTCTACAAAAGCCAGTTGTAAATTGTCAAAAACAATTCTTGACATAATTAATGAGTTACTTTGCATTTTTATTTATAATCTAGAAAAGTGCATAGTAGGGACACACAGTTCTGCTTGTTACAATTTTCCCCCACCTAATTTCTTGCAGGTTTGGTGAGTAAAGTAATACCAAATGAGGAATTAATGAATGCTACAATAAAGACAGCAGAAAAGATAGCCAGTCAATCAAAACTGACAACTGCCATATGTAAAGAAGCAGTTAATGCAGGTAAATATATATCATTGTTTTAAAAAAAAAATGCGCTTTAAGTTTTAGTAGTTGTAAAATCAACTGTATAGATTTTTAGAAATATGACTGCATTAATTTTTAGGGATTTGGGACTTTTGGGTTAAAATGAACAATTGATTTACCCACTCCAAAAACATTAATGGAGGCTGATAATGATGAGGAAATACATGGGTAATCTTAAAACAAGATAAGAAATTTATTAACAAATTTACATCCTTGGAGTTGTTTAGCTCATTTCAGGAAAAATAAATCAGAAATTTTTAAAGTCTGCAGTTTTAACAAATTGTATGAACATTTCCTCTTCATGACAGCAGATTAAATGATCTGACACAAAATAATATTAAAAAATGTTTTAAGACAAAAGGTAAGAGAGTTGTTCACGGAAGGGATATGCAATTGCATACATTCGAAAGTAGACAGAGATAGTTTGAAATACTTAGCTTTCTTGGATTGTTCAAATAAAGTTCTATGAATTGTGAAGTGCTTGGTTAAGCCAATAATATAATTGGCAAGAAATTTGACACTGGCAAAAATTTCAAGCTGGATCCATGATGAAACTTTTCACATGACTTCAGACATTCTTCTCTTATTAATTTAATTTTTCTTTATTTTATATCAAAAAAGATTTCGCATATGCTCGCTATTTTCTTTTCTTTTTCTAGGTTCAATGGCTAATTTTCTGTGAAGTTGATCCAAAGAATATTCTACATAGGCTCACAAATTTCTTTCCATCTTTTTAACTGCTTGCCTGAATTTGAAAGTAATGGGCAAAGAGTTATTTCATACTCAGCAGTAACTGTAGCCCAACATGAAATATAATTATGTTTTAATTCTGGCACTGAAATTACCCTGTAAGCAAGATCTAGAATATATTAACTGCATACCCTGCAGAGGGCTAAGACCCCTATCCAAACAAAATAGCCACCAAGTAAAGTTAAGTTTATAGACTCAAATATAAATTTACCTATCCCTGAGTGAAGTAAATGCTTTAAGATTTGAGTATAATTTTTTTTAAAAATGACTAATCCATCCAGGACTGAAAATCAAACTTCCTGTCTATCATTTATGGTTGTCTTTTGGGTCCAAAGAAAACTGTCTTGCAATTCATCAGTGAATGCTAGGGTGTTATTTTTATTTTTTTATTTTTTATGCCAGGCTTCATCAAAGTTTACAAAGGTTGGTTGGACAATTGCATGCCAATGCAGACAGCAACACATTCCTCTAGATTCTATGGTCTAATCTTGCATCAGTGGAGCTTAGCTTTGATTGTGACTTTGTTCCATTTCTATAGTTGGTCTTGATGTCTTCTGCCACATATAAGCTCTCTGGCATTTGGAAATGCGATGTTGCTACATGCAGATGATGTGGCCAGTTCATTAGACTTGTACCTTGATCAGCATTAATTCAGAGCTAAAATTTTGGTCCTAAATTTCAAGATTGGTGATGTGAAATGTATAACATGATTCCAAGTATGGAGCAAAAAACCCACATGTAAAACTTCTCCAATTTCTTGATGTGTCTGTGGTACATGTTCTACATTTCACATCTGTAGAGTAGAGAAAGGAGTACTGTTGTATTGTGCATTTTTAATTATGTTGACAGGCATGTCTTACGCTGGTCTAGCACTTTGTTACAGAGCCTTTCTCAATGCTTGGCTTGCTCTGCTGATTCAAGTGTCAATTTCTGCCCACCATAATGAGTGACCAAATACTTAATTTATTGCAAATTATGCTCTATACTCTTTGTACCATTGCTCTGGTTTAATTTATTTTCTCTCTTTTTTTTCTTTTTTTTTCTTTCATTTAATTTTCCTAACAGCATTTGAAATGACTTTAGCTCAAGGTTGCCATTTTGAAAAACGATTATTTCATTCCACATTTGGAACTGTAAGTAAATTGTGTCTTCTAACCATTTCCTTCTTGAAAATTTGAATTGTATTGCATAACCTATATCGTAAATAAGTAATTTTCATAAGTTAATTTTTAAGTAAATATTTTCCAATTTCTTCATGTAATATTTCATAAAATAACTTAAATCTTATGCAGATAAATTAAGAAGCTTATTATTTGAATTTTTCTCATATCAAAAAGCTGGATGTTGCGATAAAAGTTATTGAAAATATTTCACAATTTAACAGTTTGTGAAATTCATTTTACAGTTCACTTATTATCATTGTTTCTTTTTATCTTGATTTTTTTCTTCTTGCAGAATGACCGTAAGGAAGGAATGACAGCTTTTGTGGAAAAGAGACCAGCCAAATTCACTGACAGTTAACTGAAGCCATTTTCTTTTTGAATAGTCCCTACTGAGTGAGTTTTGTTGCAAGCCATTATACAAGAATAGCTTCCAGTATCCAATGGAAAGGAATTATAAATAAATGAATGATGTCTTTATTGGCAATAAATTGTGATTTTTCTAGCAACTGTTTTTATTTTACCCTTTATATTATTACTAGTACCATAACTGTACCAAATAGCATAAACCACATCATTTGAGGACTATCAGCAGCAACAACAAAAATGCTTAGTACATATTTCTTGAAGAAAAATAATGACATAATCAAGATTTTGACATTATTTTACTTCAAATAAAAGGTTAGAAAGAAAATCTCCATCAGTACTAGAAATATCAATAACAACTATTGGACCTTGAAAAATTGTTTTAAGAGAAAAATTTTGTAAATTTCAACTGACACCAGCACTGGCTGCTCAGTCAATGAATTCCAAAAGTTTCCTTATAAGGAAACAGTTAAGATTACTATTACCATAAAAAATGATAGCAATATGTAAGTAATTTTGAAATTGCATTGGTTATATAACTATACAAAAGCAATTATATTTAGAGTGAGGTCTCTGTATACAAATATAATCCCTTTTGGAGTAAACAATACTGTCCATTATGTGAGTAATTGAAATATGTATAAATAGAACACACCACCTAAATTTGAAAGAAAAATACAAATTTAAAAAGAAAAATATGCAAGCTCTCTCTCTCTCTCTCTCTCTCTCTATATATATATATATATATATATATATATATATATATATATATAAATTAAAGCAAGAAAATGTGGCAATATAGTATCACTTCTACTGAGAGCATTAGGTCAAAGGTAATCAAACAACTGCTTGACCTTTTACATAAATTATCAATTTACTTATATCTATCACCAGGAATTTTTTGCTTTTCTTCAAAAACAAAATAATGGGCATTTTCCATTACAATATACATTAAATGAAAACTGGAACTAAAAATATAATTCATTGAAATGAAAATTATAATAAATATGTTGTAAATTGTAAGGGAAACCCATCAATACAATAATAGAGAAAAGTTTTATTCATCAAAAATAGCCACAATATATTTCCATGAATAGAAAGATATTACATTAGCTAAACTCATAATTACAGGAGTGTGTGTGTGTGTGTATATATATACATACATACATCATGAACAGTTTTGGAGGAAAGATGTATGACAAAATGAAAAAAAGTTTTTGTGTGACATGTTAACAAACCTAGTCCTAAGGGATGAAACACACCACATGAAAACATTTCCCACTATGTTATATAGTATGTATGTATGTATGTATATATATATATATATATATATATATGAAAACATACCTTGAAGGGGGTGAGCAGGCGCTCCAAAGAAAACAAAGAGGTATCTGCCTCCAATGACAACTAAGTTACAACTGCACAACACCCTCACTGGACCAGGAGAGTAATAGGAGGGAGCAAAAGAAACAAGTTGCCAACTAGGAATTACAAGTACATTAAAAATTTGGTAACAAAATATACCATGTGACTAACACGGGGTTAATCCACACCAAAAAGAAATTTTCCATCTTTTCAATAAACTTTCTACACAATTTACTATGTGTGGCTATTACATTAACTGCCTGAACACATTTTAATTCCTCTTTTTTTCTTTTTAGTATCATGTAGATTGATGATTTTGTCATTCTGTAATCTGTACAAAGTTTGCTAACACTTGTATCATTTTCTTGCTCCAAAACTATTTCCTTCTTAATTTCAATGGTAAATGATTTTCTCACTTCTGTCATTCCATGGTCATATTTTTAGTAAAAAAATAAAATTTGAAAAATATTTTCAGTATAAAACCTAAAAATTTTATCGGGTAAATTCACAGAACGATTTCACAGTTTGTTCAAATTTCAGCTTGTTAGATAAATTTATTTTTCAGAAAAAAAAAATTATTCTATTTGTTCATTTAGCAAGCCATTTGTATACAAGTACTCGACTGTACACTTATGTAAGCATACATAAGATGGTGTTACATTTTTCTTAAAACCAGATCCTCTTCTGATTCATACTACACTAATTTCCACCACTGGCTGGATGTGAGTATCTTTGAACACCCAAAACTGAACTAAAATTCTGTCAACTGTACAAGATTCCACATATAGCTTCTGTTTTTATTCATACACTCAAAGACAAGCAATACAATCCAGAATTTTCACCCAATAGCACCCACTCCAAAATAAAATCCAGAGTTGATTTGAACCTAAGAAAGGACAAAAGCCCATGAAAGGGACATTTTCAGAGTTGGACAGCATCTTGGCTGGTGTTCACAGACTTTGTTAGAAAGTGACCTCCCATTTCCAAGAGACAGCTTGCCAAAGACCATCACCCTAATAAGTCACAACTCCTCCTCCATCTCCTTCCATATTCCTCAGCAGACACCTTTTACATTTCCACTTATCTTCTTTTTTTTTTTTTTTTTCAACAAGAGACATTTACACTGATTTATTATTTGTTGTATTTTATGTTAATACAATTGTTTATTTCTTTAAACCTTCTTTGTTATAAGCATATGGTATCATAACAATGGCAACACCAAAAGACATGCTTGAGGTAATCAGTTAAGAAGCACGATGCTTTTCTAGATTATTCTTCACCTTTTGTATCTCAAAATTATAGATAATCAATTTTGAGATTCAATCAAAAGGACTATTTTGAGAATTTAAAAACCAACTTCAAAAGTTCAAATCCAGAGCTAATCTGTTGCATTTACTAATGTCTTCAAGAAAGGTAAGACTCCAACCCTTCCCCCCACCTCCACTATGAGTTAAATATTAGAATAGACTGAACTCTCTAGATTTAAGCAACAACCAATTTAAGAAGAAAAAAGCTTTGAATTTCCACCTGTGGAAAAGGCAATTCACTATATTACCCAAGAATGTATGGTAATAATAAATAAAAGGAATTTGTGGAGTGTCCTGTTTGTCATGTCACTGGGAGAGAGAAGTTACAAGAAAAGAAATCATTTCATTTTATGCCAATGTGCTAAGTCTGTACCTGGCGGGGAAACCTGATTGGGGGCCATGGTAACACCACTCTCTTATCAACATTTGCTTTTTTTCTACCTACATTCATATGTTACAAATTAAACTTAGCATAACATGTTTAAAAGATTAAAAATTTTCAGATTTTGACATTCTGTGGTCCTTTTTTTTTTTTTTTTTTTTGCAAAACTATATGAAAATTACTACTATGCTGAATGTGATAAAATTATTCAACTTTGTAACAAGAAAAAAATCTGAACTTGATGTAAAAAGTTGCCACAAAACATTGTTGATATTTTTAGTTGAATTGTTCACCTGTATTGCATATGATCCATTATTGTACCTAATTAGATTACAATAAAATTTGTATTTTATATGAATACTACCTTATGAAAATTGAGATGTAGTTCAGTGGGGAGGGGGGCTATATCATAGCTTGGGGAAGGGGATACAAGACCTTTATACTGACTCCACTAATGAGTAATGATGTTTCAAAATGGAATTTTATTTTCCCAAGAATCTATGTCTTCCTTTAATCTAAAATAAATATTTACTGTTTTTGGTATTTATTAAGACATAATTGATTAAATTGTAATTATAGATAAGATCAAACCTTAGTCTAACAAAACTAGAAATTAGAGAAATTATATTATTCAGCTATGATGGGAAGCGCCTGCTTTGAAAATCAGCATTCAAAATACCTCCCACACTTTTCTTTTTCCCTAAATTCAAACCCTAATGACTGATGCTAATAGCAAATATATAACTATAAGTCATGATCATTTATGCATGAAATGTAAAGCCAACACCTTGCTTTCATTCCAGCAAGGAAATACCAAGTTAAACTGCATTCATCTCCTTGGTTCTCACCTGCACGTATGACCACCATAGCCCACAGGAATCACTTTTTCCAGCTGTGCCAGAACGACATGTCTGATTGCAACAGACGTCTCTTTGTCTCTTCTCATAACGAGTGTAAGCGTGTCCTCAAAGAAGTGAAGTTACTGTTTGCTGATGAAACAATGTATAACATCTCGCAAATTTGGTTCTAGAGATTATTGCTGGCTCTGCAAAAGTGTACTGAACAATAGCAAATACTCAATCCCTCCTGTATTCAATCAATTCAAAGTCCTGATATCTACAGCAGATAATATTGAATGCTTTGCTCAGAAATTCTCTTCCAACTCAAAACTCTACTCATTTGGAGTACCCACTCCTGATTTCCCTCCTAGAACAGAGGCTGTACTGAGTGATATGGGCATAACCCTATCACAGGTCTCAGACGTTATTTCTAAGTTAGAATCCCATAAAGCAAGCAGAGGTGACGGGATCCCAGTCGTCGTCATAAACGAATATGCTCCTAAGCTGGCTCCAGCTCTCTCCAAACTCTACAACTATTGCCTCACTGCTTCCTGCTTTCCAGCTTGTTGGAAGTCCTCCCCTCTAGTTCCTGTTTTAAAGAACTCTGGAGAACCTTCTGACCCCTCCAACTATCACCCTATTAGTCTTCTACCACTTTTTGGCAAAGTTTTTGAAGCTTTAATCAATGCTGGAGTGATTAAGCATCTTACCTCTCATGACCTATTCTCTGACAAAAAATATGGCATCCATTTTACCAGATCTACTGCTAACTGCCATCACTGAATATATTTATCAAGCTCTTGATAATAAAAGCATTTGACAGGGTTTGGCAAATTAGTCTTCTATGTAAGCTCCAGGGCTATGGTATTACTGAACGTGTTTCATTTAATCCAATTGTCCCTATCAAATCGTAAAATGAAGGTCGTTTTGATGAGCTTGCTCTCCAGATTCATTCACACAAACATGGCTGTCTACCAAGGCTCTATTCTGTGTTCTATGCTGTTTCTGATCTTCAATGATCTCCTCCCAAGTAGGCATTTATGTTGATGGCAGTTACATTTACTCCTGTTTCAATAGCAAATCCATCAGATCTGACAAAGTT